AAAAGGGCATCTTTTTTGGGTGTTAGTTTTAGAAGGTCTTGTAGGTCTTCATAGACCCGTTCAACTTCAGCTTCTTCAGTGTTACTGGTCGGGGCATAGAATTGGATTACTGTGATAGTGAATGGTTTGCCTTGGAAATGAACAGAGATCATTCTGTCGTTTTTGAGATTGCACCCAAGTACTGCATTTTGTACTCTTGTTGACTATGATGGCTACTCCATTTCTTCTAAGGGATTCTTGCCCACAGTAGTAGATATAATGGTCATCTGAGTTAAATTCACCCATTCCAGTCCATTTTAGTTTGCTGATTCCTAAAATGTCGACGTTCCCTCTTGCCATCTCCTGTTGACCACTTCCGATTTGCCTTGATTCATGGACCTAACATTCCAGGTTCCCTATGCAATATTGCTCTTTACAGCATCGGACTTTGCTTCTATCACCATTCACATCTACAACTGGATAGTGTTTTTGCTTTGGCTCCGTCTCTTCATCCTTTCTGAACTGTGGACGGAGGTTCGTGACACTGTACAGGAGACAGGGATCAAGACCGTCCCCAAGAAAAAGAAATGCAAAAAAGCAAAATGGCTATCTGAGGAGGCCTTACAAATAGCTGTGAAAAGAAGAGAAGCGAAAAGCAAAGGAGAAAAGGAAAGATATATCCATTTGAATACAGAGTTCCAAAGAATAGCAAGGAGAGATAAGAAAGGCTTCCTCAGCGATCAATGCAAAGAAATAGAGAAAAACAATAGAATAGGAAACACTAGTGATCCCTTCCAGAAATTTAGAGATACCAAGGGAACATTTCATGTAGAGATGCGCTCAATAAAGGATATAAATGGTATGGACCTATCAGAAGCAGAAGATATTAAGAAGAGGTGGCAAGAATACACAGAAGCTGGACAAAGCTGGACAAAATGGCTGGAGCTTCAGCTGCTATTCTGTAACACAAAAGTGAAAGTGAAGTCGGTCAGTTGTGTCCGCCTCTTTGCCACCCCGTGGACTGTGGCCTACCAGGCTCCTCCGTCCATGGGATTCTCCAGGCAAGAATACTGGAGTGGGTTGCCATTTCCTTCTCTAGGGGATCTAAGAATACACAGAAGAACCATGCAAAAGAGATCTTCACGACCCAGATAACCATGATGGTGTGATCACCCACCTAGAGCCAGACATCCTGGAATGTGAAGTCAAGTGGGCCTTAGGAAGCATCACTGTGAACAAAGCTAGTGGAGGTGATGGAATTCCAGCTGAGCTATTTCAAATCCTAAAAGATGATGCTGTGAAAGTGCTGCACTCAATATGCCAGCAAATTTGGAAAATTCAGCAGTGGCCATAGGACTGGAAAAGGTCAGTTTTCATTCCAGTCCCAAAAAAAGGCAATGCCAAAGAATGCTCTAACTACCGCACAATTGTACTCATCTCACACACTAGTAAAGTAATGCTCAAAATTCTCCAAGCCAGGCTTCAGCAATACATGAACAGTGAACTTCCAGATGTTCAAGCTGGATTTAGGAAAGGCAGAGGAACCAGGGATCATATTGCCAACATCTGCTGGATTATCAGAAAAGCAAGAGAGTTCCAGAAAAACATCTATTTTTGCTTTATTGACTATGCCAAAGACTTTGACTGTGAGGATTACCACAAACTGTGGAAAATTCTTAAAGAGATGGGAATACCAGAACACCTGACCTGCCTCTTGAGAAACCTGTATGCAGGTCAGGAAGCAACAGTTGGAACTGGACATGGAACAACAGACTGGTTCCAAATAGGGAAAGAAGTATGTCAAGGCTGTATATTGTTACCCTGCTTATTTAACTTATATGCAGAGTACATCATGAGCAACGCTGGGCTGGAGGAAGCACAAGCTGGAATCAAGGCTGCCAGGAGAAATATCAGTAACCTCAGATATGTGGATAACACCACCCTTATGGCAGTAAGTGAAGAAGAACTAAAAAGTCTCTTGATGAAAGTGAAAGAGGAGAGTAAAAAAATTGGCTTAAAATTCAACATTCAGAAAACTAAGATCATGGAAAATAGATGGGGAAACAGTGAAAACAGTGGCAGACTTTATTTTTCTGGGCTCCAAAATCACTGCAGATGGTGATTGCAGCCATGAAATTAAAAGACGCTTACTCCTTGGAAGAAAAGATATGACCAAACTACATGGCATATTAAAAAGCAGAGACATTACTTTGCCAACAAAGGTCTGTCTAGTCAAGGCTATGGTTTTCCCAGTGGTCATGTATGGATGTGAGAGTTGGACTATAAAGAAAGCTGAGGCCGAAGAATTGGTGCTTTTGAACTGTGGTGTTGGAGAAGACTCTTGAGAGTCCCTTGGACTGCAAGGAGATCCAACTAGTCCATTCTAAAGGAAATCAGTCCTGAATATTCATTGGAAGGACTGATGTTGAAGCTGAAACTCCAATACTTTGGCCACCTGATGCAAAGAGCTGACTTATTGGAAAAGACCCTGATGCTGGGAAAGATTGAAGGTGGAAGGAGAAGGGGACGATAGAGGATAAGATGGTTGAATGGCATCACTGACTCAATGGACATGGCATGCCTGGCATGCTAAAGTCCACAGGGTCACAAAGAGTCAGACACGACTGAGCAACTGAACTGAACTGAATCTGTCTGTTCTTATGCCAGTATTTCACACTTAATTATTGTTTTTATAATGTCTTCATCTAACATTTTAATTTTTGAAGTAAAGAGTCTGTTTGTTTTATTACTTACTGGATTTTTAAATTATATGTATTTGAGTATGCTCTCAAGGAAAAAAGTTCCAATTTTTTATTTGTTTTTTGATTGGTATTGCACTAAAATCTTACTATTTTGTGCTATTTCAAGAGAATTCACATTTATGCTTGGAGTGTTACTAACAGTATTCTGTAAAGCAATTATCCTTCAATTAAAAAATAAATTAAAAACTGAAATAATCAAGACTGGCATTTTTATAGTTATTGCCCATGTAAGAATGTCATGTGTTTTTTCAACTGTTCAAAATTTATTTATGAGTCTGGCTAAGGGTTTATGAATTCTGTTTATCTTTTCAAAGAACCAGCTTTTAGTTTCATTCATCTGTGCAACTGTTTTGTCTCTTTTTCATTTATTTTTGCTCTGATCTTTATCATTTCTTTCCTTTTACTAACTTTAGGTTTTATTTGATCTTTCTTTAGTTGTTTTAGTTGTAAGGCTAGGTTCTTTATTTAGGATTTTTCTTGGGAAGGGGTAGATAGGGAGTTTGGGTTGGACATGTATACACTTCTATATTTAAAATGGGTAACAAAAACGACCTACTGTACAGCACATGGAATTCTGCTCAATGATATGAGGCAGCCGGAATGGGAGGGCAGTTGGGGGAGAATGGATACAGTGTAAGTCTGGCTGAGTCCCTTTGCTGTTCACCTGAAACTATCATAACATTGTTCATCAGCTGTAGTCCAATATAATATAAAAAGTTTTACCAGAAAACATCCTTTTATATATATTAAGGTTAGTCTCATCTGTTCTGGAAATCCTAACTACTTAATATTTGTTGTTGCAGTTGTGAATAGGATCTTATAATCTGACTGGTTTATGACATTATAGAAAAATGGTATAAATCTTTAAGCTCTTTTATCAAATACTTATTGCCTCTACCTGTTAATCAGTGAGCTGCTTTGAGCTTCATAAGCTTAAGCTATAATGTTATGTATTACCTTAACAAACTTAAATTTGTATATAATAACTTCTGTTTTATAAAGTTTGTTTCACTGGCTCTAATTTCTAAAATAGCCTCAAACACAGTAGTATAAGGCAACTTATTTTATTCCTGTTTTTAATATGACTGGAAAGGAAATGGCCACCCACCCCTGTATTCCTTCCTGGAGAATCCCAGGGATGGAGGAACCTGGTGGGTGGCCATCTATGGGGTCGCACAGAGTTGGACACGGCTGAAGCGCCTTAGCAGGCATGCATGCACTGGAGAAGGAAATGGCCACCCACTCCTGTATTCTGCCTGGAGAATCCCAGGGATGGAGGAACCTGGTGGGTGGCCATCTATGGGGTCGCACAGAGTCAGACACGACTGAAGCGCCTTAGCAGCAGCAGCAGCAGCAGCAATATGACTAGTTCTGTATTTCATTTCTATGAAAAATGTTGGCTATGTATCTGAAATAAAAAGTTTTTTTTAAGACTATCACATTAATAAGTTTAAGCATTCTTTGAGTCAGCAACATTTGAAGTCTATCAAATGTCTTTTAGATATGAGGAAAAAATTTTTTTCAATTTAGCCTACAGACCTTATATAAGTAAACTAAGTTATCCTCCTCCACCTCAGAAAACCTTTGGCTGTGGTAGATTAATTAATGTCCTGATGAGTTCTATAAACTAGCATTAAGAATTTTAGGAGTGAGGCAGGAGGTGGGGGCACTTATTTGTAAGTAAAGCACCAAGACTCTAGTTTTATTTTGCATGCCATTTGTTAGCCATGCTTCTATCCCAGAATGGACTGACAACATCCCTTGTTTCCCTGTGTTTCAAGAGAACTATCTGAACATTATCTTCTGAACTGCTGCAAGTACTCAGCAATAAATTCAAGTTAGGAACTTTTGTGGGCTGAAGGGTAGGATGGGGTAGTGCTTTGATAACTCTCAATTTCTTATTCAGCTGTTGAGACATTTCACATCTCCTACTTATAAAGTATTATCATTTGTTGCTCCAAGTATGCTGTAACCTAGAGAGCTACAATTTTGCCTAGAAAAGAAAATGTAAATGTGTTGTGACAGAGTGCCTACGAGGCCTTTCTAAGAGCTTTATTGCCTGAATTCAGTGATTTTCTGACTAACCAGATGGCATTTATTTACCTTTGCGTTTTGGGTTGTTCTCTAAGTAGGCTAAATTTGCCACAGAAACAACTGCAGGTAATTCTATAATTTAAATTATGTTTTTGAGTTACATAGACTCCCTTGTAATTTTTATCAATAATTCAGAAATGTAAGACATGCAGACTAGCAACTCACTTTATTGACTTCAGCAATTTCTCTCCTCTCTTCACTAGCAAAACGAGGTGGGCCGGCCCGGTCATCATTCTTTGAGCCATCTTCTTCCACATATGGAATAAGTTGCTGAGAGTGACAGACACAAGTTAAAAGTCAAACATATGACACACAATTTCTAATTATACTGGCATAGATAATGCATCCAGTTAAGATCAATTTGTATACTTTTATTACAAAAATACATTTTAATTCAAGTGATGGCCTAAAATAAAAGCATTAGAAGTATATATCATTTCAATGCGTTCTGTACATTTGCTTTTTTGGGTTTCTTTTGCAAAATAGTCCTTTTACCAAAATTAGTTATCACATGTAATTAAAAAATATCCTACTCAGTCAATCAGCAAATATTTAATTGGCAGACACTGGGTGAGGAGACACTGCAAAAATAATGACAAATAAGATACAAGTCCTACCCTTGAGAACTTTATGTCCATTAAGCTAGAATAGGCTTTCCTTCATCTGTACTAGAAAGAAAGGAACTTCATGGACATATATTATATAATTGTGATTTACTTGCTATCAAAGTGTCTACGTAGATCTCTAGATGTCTTTTAGTTGGGAGAAAGTTTTTTTTGTAAGAGAAAAAGTTTATATATAGCAATGAAACTTCCAGAAGAATTATAATTAAATATGTATGGGTTTGTGATGACATTTGTTTGATGAAACCCCTTGTAGGGTCAACAGAGACTGTCTCTTCCATCTTATATTACCAGTGCAGGAACGGGACAGAGGTAACTGGTATAACCAGTAATCAATCTGGCCAAACTTCTGTGAATTCTTGGGACAAATATAAATTTGCCTACATCCACAACTACTTTCTTCCTTTCCTCTCTCCAAATGCAGACAGTGGTCCTTCATCTCAAATACATTTAGTCTTCATTCCTGTATACTGATTCCTCTGCCCTCCTGTCTTCATTATTTGTTTCCCCCGACCTTGCCTGACTGTTTTCTTCCTTTTTTATCTAAACAAGAGCTCCCATTTGGAAGGAAAAAAAAAACCCAAACCACCAAACCCTCAACTCTATCCCTCCTACCACCTACTGTTTTCTTCTTTTTAGTCTAGGCTTCTTGAAAGATGGATATCCATTTGTTGGCTTCAGTTCCTTACTTCCTGTTTAATCTTCAGCTCACTGTGATCTGACTTCTGTTGCTACCTTTCCACCAAAGCTCCAACCAAATATACCAACAATTTTTCTCTAGCAAAATCTGCTGGACAGTTTTCATTCCTTATTTTCCTTGACTTTTCTGTAGCCTCTGTCAGAGTCCACCATGTTTCTGACCCTACACATCTCTGACCACTTTTTTTCAGGCTGTATTGCAGTTTACTCTTTCTCTGTTCACCTCATACATGCTGATCACTCAAATAAGAAAGTGCTGATGATATGAAACTGTTCTTCATATGTAGTGAGAGAACATCTAACCCCACTTCCTGCCACCAGCTACCTCTGGGGGCAGACATTATCACTTGTCAATAGGAAAGGACCACCTATAAAAATAACCATATACCTGATTAACTAAAATATACCCATGATCCAAGATTAAACTTAAATATGTTTAAAAACGAGAGTGATTCTACTAAGATAATTTAAATTAATAATGGTGAAAATGGTTATAACCTTTTGTCCATAAAGAACTTACATGAAAACCACTGTAAAAGTATTTTACAATACTATTAAAATGTCTACTAAAACATCATGCACTGATTTAATTAAAATGACACTGACAGCAATAATAAAAGTTGCCACAGATAATCTCCTCCAACAACAAAAATTCACTATCAGCCTGGATGCTAAAGTCTGCAAGAAATTATCACATGAAAAGACAGCACTACACAGTACTATATATATATACACACTCACACACATATGTATCTCACAATTTCATCTTTTCTAGTCAAAAGTAAAACCAGTATGATCAAAATCTGGAAATACTGTGAAAATAGAAGAGAAAAAGGGAAAAAATTACAAACATCCTAAGACTCTTACATTCACCCTCCCTCGACCACTAAAACTTGCCTCCACTGGAATGGGATCCATCCCTCCGCAGTTTTCATTGCATTTATCATAGACCAATCTCAGCTTCCTGAAGAGAATAGAAAGTTGGCGAAGATGATCCTGTAGTTTTGCTAACCGGTCTTGGTATGTTCCAGTATGGTAAGTGACACCATTTGGCAGCTTCTCGGAGAAAAAACCAAAACATAAAGTAATGAAAATCAAGATTTTCTTTAAGCAAAGCTAAGGAACAGAAACAATCTCTGAGCAATGCATAAAAGCAAGCTGTTCTTCACAATGAATCAAGTGCAACTTTAACAGTAATACATGCTCATTTATTAATTAGCTCCTTGGCATACTGTCAAGCAGTTCTAGAAAAGACTTTGTGATAAGCCTTTCTGAAGTTGCAATGCTTTCTGCCTCTAACTTTTGATTATATGTATACCACAGCTTTGTATTATAACTAAAAAGAATATACAATTTTAATATCACTTATGATAATGTAAAAGCAGCAAGGTGCTGAACTCAACCAGGAGCTGAATTCAAACAATTCAAAATACAATTTAAAGAAAAAGAAGAAGAAAAGGAAAAAAATGAAGATCAGGACTTTTCAGTAGAAGAAAAAGAAGAGTATGCTACCGTTGTTGCAAAAATAATCTCAAGATATGTTAACTATAATTAAGATGCTCTAGACATGCATTAAAACATAAAGCTGTCACAAAAAGTTTTACTTTAAAAAGAAATCAATAGCAGGGGATCTATAGTAGCAAGTCGATCTGTACTTGAACATCTTTAATAAATTATTGCAAGTAGCTGCTATGATCATAACTCTGTCTTGGATGCTTAAATATTTTTATTCAGGAATTTTACCAAAAGAAATCAAAATACATACTGAAATAACAAAAATCACAGATAAATGGAAAAACTGACTACTACTTACAACTAAATGCACATTTTGTGTATGTTGAAACTTACAAAATCTTCCTCTCTCTGTACATCTTTACAATATTTTATTCCCACAATTTGATCTGTGAAATTATCCTAAAACTAGAATTAACAAAATTTGTACCATGGTTTCTAGTATACAAGGTAATTTCATTATAATCACTAACTCATACACTTATCTTGAGGATTATAAAGTGACTTAAAATCAAAACTCCAACTCATGTCTAATAGCTAGAAGATCAATCCAGTCTTTTCTAAACCTCACTTCATCCTTTTTTTCTTTTCTGAACAACTGAGGTAGGAATCAAATAAAGCCTGATACAGTGTTCAAAGAAGAAGAAGTCAGAGCCAGTATTGTTCCAAGTAGGTAAAACCATAAACATGGAGAGAAAAAAAAAGACTAAAGGCATATACATAGTTATACATATATAGTTATTAAAGGTGTAATAGTTGATAAAAGATGTAATAGGAAGATAGGCTTAATAATTGATTTTCTTGTTTTACCTCATTTCTAAATTTCCTGTAATGTTATGGTTTATAAGTTAAGGAGATAGATCTTTTAAAATTCTTTGAAATTAGTTTTTAAAATATTAGGATTTTTGGAAACTTTCAGGCATTAAAACATTCTGAGGATGATATCGCAAAGAAGACTGATATAGTAATAAAGACTGAATTAGTGAAAACAGTTTAAAGAACAAAAGCATTGAGAGTTCACCCCCCACAATAGCATTTCTCATGATCTTTCAATTCATGAACTTTCAAAAACATTAAAAAATAAGAAAAAAATTTCAGAGGGTCACTGCTTTCTTGTTTGGGTGACAACAAGAAATATAATAATTACATTTTACATACAGAAGCAGGCTATACCTTTATTATGGTACTACATTTTTTGTACCTACATTGTAGATACTACATACTTTGCCTATATTTTGTATTTAATAAAGACTGGAAGATATTCACATTTATATCTCTATTTAGCATAGTGCACATGTGTAAGAGTATATCTCTATTTAGCATAGTGCACATGTGTAAGAGTACGTTTTGTATGTATCTAATAAACATGATCCAAGGATCATCTGCAAGGAGATCCAACCAGTCCATCCTAAAGGAAATCAGTCCTGAATACTCATTGGAAAGACTGATGCTGAAGCTGAATCTCCAATACTTTGGTCACCTGATGCCAAGAACTGACTCACTAGAAAAGACCCTGATGCTGGGAAAGACTGAAGGTGGGAGGAGAAGGGGACGACAGAGGATGATATGGTTGGATGGCATCACCGACTCGATGGACATGAGTTTGAGCAAGCTCCGGGAGTTGGTGATGGACAGGGAAGCCTCACGTGCTGCAGTCCATGGGGTCGCAAAGAATCAGACATGACTGAGTGACTGAACTCAACTGAACTGTGGAGGGAGGTTAGACAGGTAGCAGATGAGGAGGAATGTTCATTGTAATGTCCCTTCTTATTTCTGAATTCAGAATATATTTTATATTAAAAAGAAAGGTAAGATTTAAAGCATAACAAATAGAACCAAAGCAATACTTTTTCATGCAGGGAATCAACCTAGGATCTAGTGATTTGGGGGGAGACATCTGTTAGCCCATGAAATTTTATTCAGAATGTTTCTTTATATGTGCAGTCTTCTCAGAAAAGAGTCTGTAGTTATCAGATTCTCAAGAGGTTAATGGACAACTAATAAAGGAGGATTTCTCTAAAACCAATGCTTAGAAATAACCTCAGAATTTGGTATTTATGGCACGTCATCCTTCTGAATTAATAGTATAGAAGATAATTTTAAAAATTTGAACTTAAAAATGTATTAACAAATAGTTTATATGTAGTTTTGTTTGTACCACTTCTCCTCCCAACTTTCTATAAATTAAGGAGCACACTGTTGCTTAATTTACAGCCAATTACGATATGGCCCAAAGGGGCTTAGTGAGTTAAAACACAGAATTCACAAGAAGCAGAAAGAAATAATTATTGTAGTCCTTACAAGTTGGTTTTGAATATATGTCCACATGTAATCTAGTTACTGATAGTATCTTTTGAAAGAGTTCAGTTCTTTCACTGTCAGTCATGGATGTGTATTATATCTCTGTTAATAATACAAACTGTTGATAGCAAAATAGTATAATAGAGGTTAGAAGCTACCAGTCATATATGATGTTGGGTAATTCTTCTCTCTTTAAGTCTCTTGTTTCCTTAACTGTAAAATAGAGATAAAAATACTTCTTAGAACTGTTCTTATAACAATGTACCTGACTAAGGAAAGTATTTGATAAATGTTAGCTATTAGCTCTACTAGTCCCATACAGCAGCTTAAAAATAAATATTTGCTAAATCCTGAGAGATCATTTAATCTGTACTTTAGTCATCTTACATTTTAATCTATAAATTTTTGAAACGATTGTCAAAGATTTCATATCTCCTCTTGGATTCCCTTTTTATCTCACAGTGGCTTATTGACAGGGTCTTATATTTCCATACAGTTGTATTACTTCTAGAATCAAGAGGAAATACACCCAATCATTTTATGTAAAAAGGCAATAAAACAATCTTTAGTGCACCAGCTAAAATAAGAGTTTGAAAGAGAGTCTAAGGACCTTTTCAAATTCACCCTACACTGACTATCACCTCTGTTACTTCACCTCTCAGAGCCATAGAAACCTCATCCATGAAACAAGAATGATATCCACATCACAGAGTAATAAGATACGCCTTAAAAATGGGTTATTAAAATAGTAAAATGGTGCTGGAATGACATGATATCCAAACGCAAAAAAAAAAAGATCCATATCTATCATTATTTTAAAAAAGTAACTCCATGTGGATCATAGACCTAAATGTAAAAGCTAAAACTATAAAACTTCCAGAAGAAAACATAAGTAATCTTTGGGTTAGACAAAGATTTCTTAGGTATGGCACCCAAACCCAAAATCTGTAAAAGGACAGATCAATAAACTGGATTCCATCAAAATGTAAAACATCTGTTCTTCAAAAGGCAATGTGAAGAGAATGAAAAGACATGCCACAGACTGGGAGAAAGTACTGACGAAACAAAAAGACATACAATTCCAAAAAAAAAAAAAAAGGAAAAAGAGACAGTAACAGGTACTGGCAAGGATGAGGAAACTTTTGGAAAAGTTTCTTAAAATGGTAATCAATCATTTCCCTCATTATCCAGGCCTAGGCATCTACCTACTCAAGAGAATGAAACACATGTTCACACAAACATTTGTAGCTGAATACTGAGAAGTATTTATAATAACTCCAAAGTGGATGCAAACCAAATGGCCATCAACAGATACACTAATTGTGATATAGTCATACAACAGAATACTACTCAGCAATGAAAATGACCTATTGATATTTGTTGAGTGAAAGAAGCCAGATTCCCCCCCACCCGCCCCCAATCATAGTGCATGATTTCATGTATATGAAACTCTAGAAAATGCCAACTAGCTTATGATGCCAGAAAGCAAAAGGGAGATTGCCTGTGGATGGAAAGCCAGAAGTAAAGATTTAAAAAGGGCACGAGAATGTGCTCACTTCACCACAGAGGGAACTGTGGGCTGATGGACGTTGGTTTCACAAGTACACATGTGTCAAAACTCTGAATAAATGCATTGTACTGGGAGTCAGTTATACCAAAATAAAGCTGTTTAGCAAAAATGGTGAGCAGAATCTGAATTCAACTCCTTGAACCATCACAAAATATTCTGTGGGAAAATACGAGATTAAAATAACCCAAAGAGAGTTGCGGAGTGAGGCCCACCTCCACCTTGAAAGATACAAGAGTTCGCCTAGAGCCTAGAGAACCCGGTCGAATATAGAAAACGCGGCTTCATTTTTTCAGAAATCCAGTCTGGAAAACATCAGCTTCACATCTTGGGGACGGACACTTTATCGGGTAACGCATCTGAATATAAATGAGGGAGACTCCATACTCATTTGTCCAGGGCAGCCGCGTCGACGCCGAGGGACCTCACGTAACAATTAAACCAGCTGCCCTTTCCCTAGCAGAAGCGCCTCGCTCTCTCCACGCACGGCCCGGAGTGCGGTCCGTCCTCCTTCCCACCTGCATATTCCTCAGGAGCTGGAAGATCTCCATGGTGCGGTACACGATGTCTTGGACCGTCTCCTGCCCGATTCGGCAGAGCGATGCAGTGTTGACCTCTCGGGCCGCCTGCTGGGCCTGGGGCCCGGCGAAAGGCCCGGGCGCCATGCCCGATGCCGCCAACGGAGGGGTGGACATGGCGTGGCAGCGGCGTCAGGTCAGCAGGGCTGGAGGACAGGTGTCGGGTATGTTCTCCGACGCTGCGCGGCCTCAGGCCTCTGCGTAAACAGGAGCTAGTAAGACCTGGGCGGTCTGATTTCAAAACAGCGGCCGCGACTTCCGCCACGGTGACGTAGCGCGTCGTCAGACGTCACAGGGCCCGCCCACTGGGCTGGTCCCTGGGAGCCTGTGGTTCAAGGACAGTCGGGATTGGACTGGACGCGCGGGCGGGTCGGGTCGGACAGGTTGAGCAGCCAATCACCGGGTGCACTCCAGACAAGCGGTGGTGCGCAGGGTGGAAGGCAGGTGGGCTAGCCACAGTCCGTTTCCCAGTCTCAGCCAGTGCTTAAATTTTTAATAGAACTCTGACTTCGTGTTCATTTCCTTGCTGATTATTGCCTTGTCACGAGCCCACGACGTTTGTAGTATTACTTTCCTTTCACAGCTGGAAGGCAGACAAGCTTTCCTGATCACGGAAAGTATAAAATTAACACTTCTGTCTCTCGTGGCATACAATTCCTCCACTTCCTTCCCTTTTCTGACTTTGGCACTATGTTATATATAATTTTCAGTCTGTTTTCTTTCTGACTTCTCCTTGCTTTATTCACACACACCAGTTATCCTGGACTAAAATTCAAAGTTAGCACTGCCCAACTGTGGACAAATCACATCAGCTTCCATGTAAAACCATGGGAGTAACCATCAGTTCAGTTCAGTCGCTCAGTCGTGTCCAACTCTTTGGGACCCCCGTGGACTGTGGCGAGACTTTCCTGTCCATCACAACTTCTGGAGCTTGCTCAGACTCATGTCCATCCGGTCGGTGATGCCATCCAACCATCTCATCCTCTGTCATCTCCTTCTCCTCCTGCCTTCAACCTTTCCCAGTGTCAGGGTCTTTTCCAGTGAGTCAGTTCTTCGCATGAAGTGACCAACGTATTGGAGCTTCAGCTTCGGCATCAGTGCTTACAATGAATATTCAGGGCTGATTTCCTTTAGGACTGACTGGTTGGATCTCCTTGCAGTCCAAGAGACCCTTAAGAGTCTTCTCCAACACCACAGTTCAAAAGCATCAATTCTTTGGTGCTCAGCTTTCTTTATAGTCCAGCTCTCACATCCATACATAACTACTGGAAAAACAGCTTTGACTAGATGGACCTTTGTTGGTAAAGTAATGTCTCTGCTTTTTAATATGCTGTCTAGGTTGTTCACAGCTTTTCTTCCAAGGAGCAAGCATCTTTTAATTTCATGGTTGCAATCACCATCTGCAGTGATTTTGGAGCCCAAGAAAATAAAGTCTCTCACTGTTTCCATTGTTTTCCCATCTGTTTGCATGAAGTGATGGGACCAGATGCCATGATCTTCATTTTTTTGATGTTGAGTTTTAAGCCAACTTTTTCACTCTCCTTTTTCACTTTCAAGAAAGTTTTTTAGTTCTTCTTTGCCTTCTGCCATAAGGATGGTGTCATCTGCATATCTGAGATTATTGATATTTCTCCTGGCAATCTTGAATCCAGCTTGTGCTTCATCCATCCCAGCATCTTGCATGATGGGAAACCTTTGGAATTGTTGATAGTATTAAGTGAGATTCTGAATATAAAATACTTATAGTTCAAAGCATAAGTATTCAATAAATATGCTCACATGTATAACACTGAGAAGAAATAGGTAAAGTTAGAAGTAAGGAATACAGTTGTCCTAAAACAGAGGCAATAGGAATACTAAGGGACAGAAACAGGAAAAGAAGGCCATAATAACAAAGTTGACAATAGCCTGTGAGATTGAAGGAAAATCAAGATAATATCATACCATGGAAGTCACAGGAAGCACAGGTTATTTCAGGAAGGAGCTCTTGGTGAAAAGTGTCAGATACTGCTGTAAAAGGAGGTATCTTAATTTAAAGAATAGGAATATTCAGTGGAAAATTCTTGCCTGACATCCTGTTCAAGAAATGGTGAAGTGAGACAGCAACTATGTGTTCAATCCAAGAACTATGCTGCCCTTTTCCTTTGCAACAGAATATCTGATTTTAATAGACTTCAGGGTGAAAATATGTCTCAGTCTTCATTACATGTTGGCAAGGCTGTTTTACTGGGTCATAGCCAGTGGGTTAGAAGCATGGGTGACATGTGAGGCTATTGGCGGTTACGTCTAAAAGAAGGGAGCCGTCTGAACAGCATGATAACCAATGAAACAAACAGGCACCTGTGGAATGGGAGAAAATATTTTGCAAGCCATAATATTCACATAAGGGGCTAATATCCAAAATATATAGGAACTTATACCACTAAATATCAAAAGGATAAATAATTCATCTAAAAATTTGGCAGAGGCTCTCAGTAGATATTTTTCTAAAGAAGATGTAAAAATGGCCAAAGAGTCCATGGGAAAATGTGCCACATCACTAACCATCAGGGAAATGCAAGTCAAAATCACAAGGAGATATCACCTCACAGCTATTAAAATGGGTATTATCAAACATAAGATGTAAGAGTTGGCTACAATGTGGAGAAGGGAACCTTTGTACACTGGTGGTAGGAATGTGAATTGGAACAGCCACTGTGGAAAAGAGTATGGAAGTTCCTCAAAAACTTAAAAATAAAACTACCATATTATATAGCAATCACACTTCTAAGTATATATCCAGAAGAATTGAAATGAGGATTTCAAAGAGATATCTACATTCCCATGTTCATTGCAGCATTATTCACAATAGCAGAGATGTAGAAATGACCCAAACAGTCATCAACAGATGAATGGACAAAGAAAATGTGATGTGTGTGTGTATTTCAACCTTTAAAAAGAAGCAAATTCCATCCCTTGTGATAACAGGATAGACCTACAAGACGTTATGCTAAGTTAATTAAGTCAGTCATAGAAGATCAAATGCATCCATGATTCATCTTATATGAGGGTTCTAAAATAGTCAAATGTATAGAAGTAGATAATAGAATGTTGGTTACTGGGAATGGAGACAGAGGTTTATGGGGAGTTGTTCTAATGGATAAAGGTTACAGTTATGTAAGATGAGAAAGTTCCAGAGATGTGTTGTACAATATAATAGGTATAGTTAATAAGATATTGTATACTTTAAAATGTGTTAAGAGGTTTAATCTCATATTGTATCCTTAACACACACACACACACACAACCCCAAAGGGACACAAGGAATTGCTGGAGGTGATGAATACATTTATTACCTTGATTGTGATGATGGTAAAATGAGTATATACATATGTCCAAACTCACCAAATTGTGTACATTAATTGTGTGCACTTCTTTGTATACCAGTTATTCTTCAATAAAGCTTGAGAGGTGGACAAAAAGAAGAGAGCCTATGATTTCTCCTTCCAACTGGAATTCAGACATTGTGGCTGCAGCTCAAATGAGCTCTTATTTGGGGACATTTTTTGTCACATGTGACTGAATCTAATTCTAGCTGCTGAAGTGGCAACTTTGGAATTTGCCTTGAGTTCCATTTAGCTCTTCCTGATTCCAGCATAGGTTCTCCTAATACAATGATTTACCGCCTCTCCTTTAAATGATCCAAAAAACAGACCAGAGCCCCTTTTGACCTGGTGCATCATCCCCAGTGGTGCCACAAGCTCTTGTGTAATTTCGGGAGTGGAGTTAGCTTTGCTTCTGTTCTCACGGAAAGTGCTCATCTCTGCACTTTCTAGTACCTGGGCATGCTCAGTTGTTCAGTCATGTACAACTCTTTGAGACCCCATGGACTGTAGTTTGCCAGGCTCTTCTGTCTGTGGAGTTTTCCAGGCAAGAATCCTGGAATGGGCTGCCATTTCCTCCGCCAGGGGATCTTCTTGACCAAGAGATTGAACTCCCATCTCCATCTCCTCCATTGGCAGGTGAATTCTTCACCACTGAGCCACCTGGGAAACCGAGCACCTAGGAAATGGACAATTCTGGGATGTTTTGTGGAGTTAGGACACTGTGCTAGTCGGATCAAAGGTTACAGGTCACTGTTGTTAGTCTGAACCTAAAAGCCAATATTTGAGAGTACACTGACTGGAAAGCAGTGGACACTCAGGGTAGGGAAGAGAGAAATATAGATTATGAAAAGATATAATGGAAGGAAAACCCCTCTCAAGTCAGCACAATGGAAACCAGATTTGCATTGTCTTTACATAGTTTAGTGGGCTTAAGCTGGTCTATAACCCGTTTCACTCCTAAACTGTTACACTTTTCATGAACTCACACGTGCCATAGAAAAGCTTTAAACTAACCTAGGGACATTTGGAAATTTTACCACATAGGACCTAGCAAATCAAAGGATTGGGTGTAAACCATCATTGACATGACCTTGGCCTGCCAGTAGTGATGTTGATGCCCATTTGTGCACAATTTATTCATGACTAATAGACTATATTTTTCACTTCAGCCACTCATGTCAAGAATATTCCCTCTGGATACAGAATTATTGAATTTAAACAAACACTTATTGGGCACCTATAATTGGTCCAACTAACAAGCATTTAGGTTGATTTAGACTATTGCCCACACCTAATTAGTATTCCAATTTAACAGACTATGCTAACTTGTCCCTGAAGGTTCATTAGTAAAGGTTTTCTTTGCTTCATAAATGCTCAGTTAGAATTCCATACTTAAGAAATGCATGAATTAAGTCACCACTTCACACTGAAGAATGGTTCCTCCCCCAAGTTTAGAGACCTTGTGTGACCTGGTCAACTGTTTTAGGTGTTTAAGCACTTAATGTCTCTTTTTTCCCTAGGTGTCACATGTATCGCCATCCAAAGTCTGCTATTCAGACACATTTAGCAGGGATCAGGAGATGTTTGTAAACACCATTAATGAGAGCATGAGGCTTTAAATAAGCAACCATAGTTTGGGATGGAAAAGCTCAACCTGTGTATGAGTTTGCCTATTGTTTGTAGTGGGTTGTCTCACAATTACATAAGCTGATAATGGTTGATGGTTATTCTTTTGTTGTGCTTGAAGTCAAT